CAACGTTTCATTTTTCTTGCCATCAGGGGCTCGTTTGCATTTTTTTTTCCGGAAGAAGGTAGAACACGTTTGTAAAAAAATCAGCCCGTAAATATGCAGTATGAAGGGCAAAGAGAGCGGTAAATCTGCGGGCATATATTTGAATAAATTTAACCACGTGTATAATTTAAAACCTGATTCTGCTTGAGATGAGGGTTAATCGATTACGAAGGAATTTCGCTTGCCAGCAGCAGAGCACCGATTTACCTCACATCATATCAAAGGTGAAATTCACATTTCATCTCGCCGTCCAATTTACCTCTAAAGAAAATCACCTCTGGCCAAATATTGACGAAAACATAAAATTTCCGTGCTTTCCACCCGGAATGGATGCCCTTGCTCCACCAAAAGCCTTTATTCTCACTCCATTCCAGGTAGAATGGAAAAATTCCGTGAGTAAAAGAGACGAACAAAGTGGTATCGCATTTATTCTCAAAGTTCATCGATTCTCTAGTTCTTCAAAGTGATAGAATCACCTGGAAATTCAACTCCAATGAACCAACATTTTTTATTTCACTGTTACAGGAACTGATGACGAAAAACAACCGTCGAAATTGGCGTCGGCTGTTGGTTGGCGGACTGATAGCAATCTTAGTGCTTGCACTGCTGATCACAGCGATTATTTTACTCACGAGTAGTCCAAATTCTCCAAATGCCCCGACACCTACTGCATCTAAAATTACTCTCGATGACTGGCTCTTCGGATCCTTGACCACCAAACCCTTCAATGGAACCTGGATAAATGGTGAGTTTGACAAAAATTTATATTTCCTCCAGGTTAATAGACTTGTGACAACCGAACACTGAAAACCTCATCGACATTTCGCGTATATTTATTATTTCCATCTTGTGATAGTGGAAAACACAAATTTTTATGAGAGTCAGAAAAATGGAGAGGATTTTACCGCGCAATTTAAACTCACTGCGCATTTTATCGTTTTTTCTAATATTCAATCAACTTATTCCTCTCACGTATCTATCTCAACAGTGGATCATGAGGAACTCACTGCAAGTAGTATAACCCATTTGTGGCCAGCCATCGGAGTTATTTCAGTTGCCCTCTATACTTTCAAGATTTCCCGTTGTAATACCCGAAAACCTCAAAAAATTATCGGATATATCTCGGAAGAGGGAGAAATTCCCATTTTCTATAAAAAATCGTAAATTTCTTGAAATTAATTGGAATTCAAATAATTTCCATATTCCCGATTAGAATAATCTCAATAATTTCCAAATCTCAGTATTCACACTAAGCAATCAACTCATCAAAATAAAAACCACGTAAATAATTCGTTACCAAATTACCATAGAGTCCAGCAACTAAATTCAATGAAGCCCTCCGGAAATTTAATTGAAAATAACGTGGCAAATTACACCGGGAATCCTTCCATTAAACAAATCCGTGAGAAACCGGCAGTGCATTGTCGTGTGGTTTGTCGGTAGCGGTTTATACCCTAATCCGCTCTCACCGGGATTCTCCAGTGATGCGAACCCTACAACACCCCCAATCCACCCCCTTTTTCTCACCACCCCCTTTTCAATGGAGACAGAAATACCGATTTCAAACGCACCAGTCGTTTGCAGTCACGACACATATGGCCCTTCTCACCACTATTTGGCAACTCAATAATTTCCCAACTAATGAAATTTTCCAATGCACGTTGTTCGCTCTATCCCATTTGCATCATCAAATAGTTCATTCTAATGCAATCGGTCTGCATGTTTTCATCGTTTCCTTCAGAATATAAAATAATTTATCAGCGATTAGAGTAAAATAACGGAATCGCATTGAGATTAATTTAAAATTACTGGACTGATCGTTGAAATAGTCTTACCAATTAGGGGCTGTCGGTGGTTTGGGAGGGAGGGGGGGAGGGGGAGAGGTATTAGGCGAAGGATGAAGGGGTAAGAAGTTGGGGAAAGTGTACCGTTAGCTTTTGCAGTTATAGTGGTGGAAAACGAAGTAGTGGAATGGGAATAATGGGGTTGATAAAATTCCGCTTTGGCATGGACAAAACTTTCTTGAGATTAAAATCTTTTCTAAAGTATTTTTCACACCCAACTGCCTTCATTATTCACTCCGGTTTGTTTTCTTCCTGTTTCTACCTTTCATTTGATCTTTTTTTTCTCCATCTCGAGTAACACTTAAATCCCTTCAGAATACCCGGAAGAATATCCTTTATTTCATCCCTCGGGCTGAGTCTTTCTCTCTCTTTTAATCACTACAAATTTATGTGGTGATTATGAGAGACGGAGGTGCGGAAAAAAATAATGAGACTTTGGTTGGAAATTTTTTCTATCCCCGTCGAATAGTTGAGTGATAAAAAAAAGTGTCGTTTGAAGTGCGAAGATATCGACATGTTGGAGAAAAAAAATATCAGCTGGAGTTACCAATTGTACGCGGGTGTTGGAGCGTCACAAGCTAACGACCGCATTCCGTAGGTTCCACACTTGCAAAGTTTTCGGGATAACGATCGGGGATAAAATACGGTTCTCCCAATTTTGTGAAAACAGTCCGGGGAGAGGCTTTATCCGAGATTCTGAGGGCATTGGGAAAACGTAGTGACTCCCGTGGGATGAACCATTCTCCCAAACAAACTCATGCGCTTACAGTGGTGAGATATATACCCTTTCCCGATTTCACCGGACGCTTGTTTCCGGGTGGATGTGAATGAGGAATAAAAGAAAGAAAAGGTTACCCCAGCTATTCCTCTTTTTTCACTTCCGTCTGGTGTTGAGATCATTGCTATTCTTCCGGGATGTGACTATGAGTAAAGGTTACTTTCAATTTGTCCACCATTTCATTTCATTCATATCAATTCAACATTTCTCATTCCCTTATTTTTTTTCTCAACTATAACCATTCCTTTCCTTTTTTCTAGTCATCATATGGGGACAACAAAATTTTACCAACAAAATTCAACAAACGTTGACAATTTCAAAAGTACAAGGAAATTAATTAAAGATTCATAATTATTCATGAATTTGCATCTGCTGTCATTATTTTCATGGTTCAATTATTGTCCAGTAGAAATTCATTTTTGTGATGTGTGCCACAAATACTTCATGTAGAACAAAAGAAATTAGCATATTAATTATCACGAATTCGGAGTCAATCCGCAAAAATTTGAATTCTCCAATTAATGTCATGACATTCAGTGTAGCCAATTTATTTCCTCTTTCATCACCCAACGATCCATTTCCAATTCATCTGGCGTGATAAAAAATTATGCAGCTCGATCATTGAAATTGAAGGGAGAACTTTTATACGATGAAATTCAAACCATTGGCTTTTTTTTTCGCAATAGCAATCGAACAGCTGCAACCCGATAGCGTTTTCCCGCTGTTAACCTCATAACGTCAATGCCATCGACTCGCGCTTTTGTGAATCGAAAAAATATAAATATTGAAAAGTGTAAAAAATGATATATTGAACACACAGGGGTACGTGATTTATTGCTTCAGCTGAAATTCGTTTTTCACCGGAAATCTTCCATTATCATATGATGCAACTCTTTTACCATTATTTTATCCCTTCCGTTAGACACTTTTTTTTCACGAATGAATTTTTTTCCCCACATTGTTTCTCCTCGTTAAATTTTCAAAGACAAGTGAAATATTATTCGAATTTATCATTCAGAGTAATAGTAAGAATAACAGAAACAATGAAAAATCGGATAAACAGTTGGTGAAAAAAAAATGTTGTACTATCGTACATCCCCGTTTCCCTCAGTTTCTTTCCACCAACAAACAATTGATTATGTGTCGAGGAAAAAAAAATATCAATAGCAATGAAATCAAGCGAACTGGATGCCCAATTGAACTTACTCGATACTCAATCGCTGCCCTTTTTGTACTCTCGGTTCCACTCTTTTATATCGTTTCCCAATGTTGTCGTTCTAGTCCTATAATCTGATTTCGATTTTCTCAGAATCGAGCGATAAAATAAATAACACTGATTCGAAAACAACGATAATGCGAGTTTAAAAATTTTATTGATATTCATATATATTTATATACGAAATCGACTGACTTCGAGTGTTCGCGTATCGATTGCAGTTCGATTTATTTAAGAGAATGAAAAAATAACATCTTCATGCAATTCAATCTCTTTTCCTACTCGAATCGTTTTTTGATTCTGTAAATGTGGAGAATAAGTTGGAGGAAAAAATGTAAAACCTTTTTATAGAGAGAGAAGTCATACATTGAAGAGTCGGCAAATATTGGAAGTATTGACGATCGTTACAGACAGCAGTGGTACAATCCACTTTGCTCGGTGCAATTATCTCCTCGAATACGATGTTCGTACATACAACCGGAACTATCACTCACGACGTTTTCAATTGCTCAAACTTCTTCATTTTTCCACTTGACAATATCAGCGGTGAAATGGAATGACAGACGCAACCTGGATTTTTCCGAAAATGGAGTTTTGACGTATGTCAAGTAGTAAATAGCGTGAGAGATGTCTGTAACAGGGGATGTAAGTGGTATTTAATTTCATGCTGCACAATGAAAATAGGTTACACCTCATTCCAACAGCTGAGAGCAATTGCCGTTTGAAAATCGATGCGCAACGATTGAAATTATTGAATTTTACGCAATCCCAGTAATTAGCAACAAAGATATAACACAAAACGATAATCAAATATTTTTCCGCAGGCAAACCCATTGGCTTCACCAATTATAAATTGACGATTTAGTCCCATCGATAAATATTCAATATTTACCCACCAGTGTATCAACTCATTAAGTATTCACGCATCGAGTAACTTCCCGTCAATGCAAAATTATGCATATAAGCGCATTATCGACTAATTCGGCAAAATTGCTAATTTTACGAATTGAGGATTAATGCGATTACTCAAATAATCATTATAAAAATCATTCAATCTCCAGGGTCTAGGCCGAGGTCATCAATTTCTCCGCGATTGATCGATTCAAGCTATACTTGGACTGATTAAAGTAGCGTAAATATTTCTCATTACAATTTCAAATAAATTGTAAACTATTCAAGTTTATTTCACTCTGAATCGTAATTTAATTTGCTGTTAATGGAAAATTACAAATATTCAATGGATCAGATTGGTAATTCGGATGTTATGAGTTCAAGATTAGGATAGCGATTCCCGAGGTAAAATCAAGTAGTAAAAGAAAGTAGCCCGTGGTTCTGCATATTCTCTCTACTTGGTCTATGAATTGTAAATCTCTTTCGGGTGACCGAAACCGAACCAACCCTGATTAAGTCTGATGTTCTGGTAAAATTGTTTTCTATATTGAGTGAACCTCATCAAAGTTGACTGGTGCACAATAATATTTAAAATGGCCGATTAAATATTCTTTTGAGCACCGGCAGCTCTTGATCCACGTCGCGCTGGGTGGGATGTTTGGGGGGAAATAAAATTTCTCTAAAAATGATTATGTCTCAGCTGACATTCCGCTGAGCTACAGGTAAATCCAATATTTCTTGGTGTGCGTTCGGAGTGTCGAGTACTTGATGAGAAGTTGATCGGATTATTAGCTCTCGCGGACTGGTAATCATCACTACCACAGCGACAAACTCTGTTCAACTTTTCGCAGTCTCCCACGGATAATCGACGGTGAGGGCCGACATCCTGTCATGGCTAAGGGCGGATGAGCGGTTCGAGCATTGGGGAATTAACTTTCCTTCGCGTTGCTCATTTCACAATTTGATCGATCCGTGATCATCCTAGTGCCGATGGGGTCAATAAGAATTAATAACTTTAGACACTCCATCGAGGATGACATCATGTCCAATAGTTTTTGAGAGGAATCGGAAAAGCCTCAATGTGTCCCATTCGCACAAAAGTTTGTCATGAATTAAACAAAAAAAGAAATGTCATGGATTCTTAACGATTAATTTTCAAGACAATAACACAGAATGCCACATTCAGATTAAAAATCCTGGAGTTTTCCCATTTTTTTTCATCAATTATTTGGAATAATGGAACTAGAATTTCCGTTGACAATCGGGTTTTGGAAAAGCCTGAAGCAGAGAGTGTCGAACCAGCCTTTCGTTTTCTCATGAAAAATCAACAAAAGACTCCAACAAAATAAGAAAGACTAATTCGTTTATCATTGGGAAAACCCCCGTTCCGAAAAGAGGGATGTGACAACTAACGGATTACAGTGTTTCCCCCGCAACGAGATAATCGAAGATTCCCAAAGCTTTCATCTTTTCCAATGGAGACCCCAAGACAAAGCATTAGGCTAGGAAAAATGACAAAGTGAATTCGGTAACGTTAAATGATCAATTTGTAAGACGTGACAGAATTCTCACAGATAAGAAAAGGGAAGAACGCAATTTCCCGCAGCAATGGCGGTGGTCAGCAATTTATTTTCCGACTTATTTTCTTCTGCTTCCTCACAGCCGTATGAAGCCCACATTTTCCGGCTTGATAGACAACTCTGGAAAAAGCGTCAGACAATATTGCCCGATCCGTGAATTCCACCGACAAAGACATCTTGATCTCATTCATGAGAGAAACAAGTAAATGAGGGACAGCAGAGCAATTTGTCAGGACAATTCATTCACCTTTCGCCTTTCGCAAGCCGTATATTGTGTACCTCAATGCCCTATTGCCTTCCTGGAAGGATATAGTATATACTTGATATCCATGAATATACACGGAGGATTATGGAACGCACCGTGACAACGGGTGAGGATTGAGGGAGTGGTAGGAGAAGGGTAATTTGATATCATGCACAGGACGTCGGTTATGGCCTATTCTCCCTCTATCGCCTCGATAATATATAGCTTTAACGATCTACCTTGGTAATCTTACACGGTGACGAAATGAGCTCCCTCTTAGAGACGAGACCCCACACACTCACAGAAACAATACCAGATAACACCTCTCTTATAACCCACATGCAAAAATTCAAAATTATATTAAATTTGCTACATTTGGAAAAGTCCATGCGTTCCCCATCTGTCCTGCGTCCCTCATAACAAGAAAATTATTCATAACTCCACAAATATTATGTACATAATTTCCATGTTTTTCCATATACAGTAAAATGCCGCTATAGTGACACCTCTCCTCAATTTCTTTTTCCACGTATTTTTCGGCTGCCCCACTCTACTATACGCAACGGTCGCAGCGAGCACGTGGTGGGGGTATAGTTGCATGTAATCGGATTCCCCGATTCCGCTTCCCCTACAGCCCCGTGCATCCCCCTATAGCGGGATTTTGCGGTAATTTCGGTCTACAGTTTCCCTGGCAGTCGGTTAGTTCTCATTTAAAATTTTTCCGCCGATTGATTCAATGCATAAATCACATAAATCACGAAATTATTCATGAATTGCTTTGCAACGACTATTTTATAATTTTACCCTGTTTACATATGCTACCCACAGTGAAATGTGTACTGTCGCGTGGCCCTCGATTTTATTTAAAAACTTAATAATTAAACAAAAATAATTATTGCAAAAAATGAAAAAAAAAATTGTATTCTCCAAAAATAGCCTTTACTTCCTAAAAATCCAGTGATAAGTCGAATGAATTACTGAATTTCCACGACTTATTTAATCCTTCGAATTTCATTCTTTCCATGCAGAAATCCGCGGAGATCTCGATAAAACTATAGCAGTCGAAATTCTATCAACTGTTGTGCGAAATCTGTGACCGATATCCTAACACATTCATTGTTCAATAATTTCCGGTGGACGTAACAAAAATGTTGCCGACATTGTCTATTCTGAGCGTCGGAAACTACAGTGGGACAATGCACAGGTGCTTGACAGCAATAAACGGTGGCACCCGGAAATGACACGTTGTACCGTATCCACAGACAGATACAAAACAAGGGGATGCGTAAACCCTTCCAGTCGAATGGAGATTGAAATTTCGCGTACACACGATGACGGCGGGTGGAGATCACTCCGAATGATACAAACACTTGGTCGAGTGTGTCACTCTCGCGGTAATATCCGGATAGATATACGAAACGAAAATGGCCCATGTGTGAATCGATTTATCCATTCACCATTGTATTTTATGGATGTTTAGTTGATGGTGCCAATAAATTCAATTAGTGGTAGTTGTTCCATCCTCACACCTCCCAGGCATTTCTCTCGGCAACACGTGCTTATTATCAATTTCCGAATCAGCGTCGAATTATTTTCATTTTTTTCGCGGATATTGTTTCGCATTTTTATTTTTACTGAGCATTTATTTTTATTTCAGATGATCAGATCCTGTACAGGGATGAACCTGGAAATTTGATGGTTTACAGCATTGAAAATGCTTCAGCGCGAGTATTAATGCCGACTTCGCAGCCTGTGAGTATTATACAGATCCAATAATGTTCACTCAGTTGTATTTTTTGAATCCTTTTAAATTTCGTTTTATTTTCTTCAAAATTTTTCAAATGGCTTTTTTTTATATGTTGAATTTTGGTATTTTGGAATTTTACAATCAATTTTGTCGATTACAATCCACGAAACAATTTGTTTTTTATTCAGACATTACTCATCCTTTCTAAAAAAGTAATGTCAACGCATCCTTTATTTTATTGAATCGACGTGGATGTTTGGAAAACCTATAATTTTTCATTACAATAGAAAATGCTTACAGTCAGAAACAAATTGAGGTACACCCAACAATTTCCATCTCGTTTGAATTTTTTAATTCTCGTTTTCCCCGAGTTCTCAAAGTTTCCTACAAATTGTATGAATCCATTGATATTTAACCGAAATTTTGTGATTGCGTAAAAACCACATTCTCTCAAAAATTCCATTTATTCAAAATGCAAATTATCAATCAACAATTCATTCACATACGCCCCAGTCTCTCCATAGCTAGGCCGACATTCAAGTAATAATGCAATTTTCAATTAAAAAATTCCTCGTCATCTCGATGAAACTAAGATGCACCAATTTGCTATCACAACAGTTTGGCAGCCCTATAACTAAATATTTCGCAATAATTATCGACTAATTTCTCTGACTATCAGCAGATGGACATTTGAAAAGACTAAACCGCTACAAGATATTAAATTATTCATACCCTGACTTTTCCCTAACCCTCGGAGATTCCGTCATTCTCTGATAAATGCTCTATTAAAAAACCAATCACTCAACAAATTGAATGCATCAACAGGCGATCAGTTCTAAAAGATCCCTTCACCCTCTTGAATTTTTTCCCACCAACAAATCCACAAAATATACCGATAATGTTCAATTAAAACGAGTCAGCTCTCAGCACAGCGTCACCACCCCTTAATCTCCATTTTACCGATAAATAACTCGAGATTCATTCCACGAGATGCCGTATGGTGTGGGCTAATTAGTGCCGCAAGGCAAGCCGCGAACGTTAATTTCTCCGTGGACGGACCGAAACGACCGACATGACCCCGGTGCATGTACACATATACAAATTTCGGATACGTGTGTATGGAAGCTGGGGAAATCATCCGCGGAACAAGGTGTGCTAATAAAAAGCTCAGTGCAATGGTGCGAGAGGAGTAGATTGGTGGGATGAGTGAATATGGGGGGTTAGACGGTAACACGAGAGAGGGTGAATGTCGAGGAGAATCGAATTAATCGAACTTCACCACCGCCAACCAGACTGGAGAGACTAGTCGATTTTGCCTTAATTAGCGAGGAAAAAAAACCAACAGCAAGAAAGCGTAATGGGATTATTTTTCACAGTAGCTGTCTTTTTATTTCAAAACCCCTTTTTTTTTTTCACCAACTTTTACCTCTAAAAACCATTTCAATGCTAGCTCCTGGAAAAAATGACAGTTTATACTTGCTAGTGGGTTTTTTTCATTTCCCCAATGGATGTTCAACCGCACAATTTCCACTCGTGGTAATTAGTTTTTTTTGTCAAATTTTCAGGCACTCAGCTCGAGTTTTGATCATCAGCTGTCGCCGGATGGGAATTATCTGCTGTTGGCGTCGAATTATCAGAAGGTGAGTACTTAATGCAGAGGTTCAAGTGTCTTGGTGGGGCGGGGGGTGGTTTGATGAGGGACCTGATGTGAATTCAGGTGCAGATGAGGCCTGAGGGGCCTTCCTAGAGAGATCTGTCAGGTGAAAGGTTAATGAAGTTCTGAAGAAGTTAAATTGTGTTATTTCTTCGGAACACACGATCTGACCCCATCAGGCTAATATGATCCTAATTCCATTTCGGTCTCGGATAGGGATATTACGGATAACCATCATAATAGGGATTAACGACAAGAATTAATCGTATTTTAATTGGAATTGAATTCGGATTCCGCAATTTGATCTTCAAATTTAACCGATCGGAGTGATATTTTCCTCCTACAATTCCAAGTGAATTCCATGCTGTTTACATACGCTACCCGCAGGGCAATTCTAAGTAAAAGAAACTTGAAATTTTTCACTTCCATCTCCTCGAAATTCAACCCCATGTTCTTCTGAATATTCCGGAAATTTATTTAATTATTCCATGAAGTTGTAATTTCCTGGGCGATACAATTATCAGATGGAGATGAACGCAGAAGCGAGAATGGATGAGTAAAAAGTGGTATTTTGATTGAAGACAGTTCCCTCGTCAATTCAAATCAGTGCAACTTTTTGGATTCAACTCTCAGAGTGATGCCTCAAGCTCTGATTTGAATTCCCGCTCACATTAATTTTATGCTGCAAAATGAAAGAGGCGATGAATGCAGTTACAACCAGAGGAAAAAACGAGACCATTGGCTCATGGGGATTGTTGCCTAATGGTTATGCGAGTCGGTTGTCCATTCTAAGGGGGTGATGACGATATTTGCATACGAATGAGACAACCCGACGCAGAATGGTTGAGGTTTACGTGGAATACAATAGAGCGTGATTGCACAAGGGGAAAGGCCAACGCAATGCTGATTGCGCGTTGAAGCTAGAGGTAACCTTCATCGATGACAGAATGAACCCCACCACGAATGCAAGGTCAGGAGATCGAAGATTGAACCTGGGGGCCTATTCTCGACACTTTGGAATGTAAACCGTGACCGAATATTTGGCATTCCCTTGAGAATGCTGATTCGTTAAACACTTCCCCATACGAATGTGATTCACAGACAAATCGACAACATTCATTAACGGATTTGTCATTAGGCTAATCTTGCGATTCTCATCCACGAATCTCTAGAATACTTCGTATGGGAATAAGATTCGCGTGGGAAAATGAAATTGTGGAAGTGTGGCCTTCGCACTTTCATTGATTCCATCGATATTGGATCGTTCAGGTCACACACGCTCATTTATTCATTCATCGATCTGTTTTACGTCTTAATTCTCTTTTGCTTTTGATTAATTACTAAAAAGCACATGGTACAAATGGACAAATTAAACCGTGAAAATTTGAGGAATAATTTCTCTGAATTAATTACCATTACTACGTGACGTGGAAGACTTTCTCATATTAACCCGTAATTATTGCAAGACATTGCCCATTCCTGAATTGGAGTTGAACGTTAGGAACCCGGAGATTTATGAGAAGACTTGTGGATTCTTTTCTCCACAGATTATGAAATTTGAGAGGAGCGAGGAGTTGGTTTGGGCAGTTGAAGGGTTCTTATAGAAGAAAGGAAAGTTAGTAGGTGCAGGTGTAGACAGTCAGTCATCCAGAGAGTTTGGTTTCAAGATCCTTTTGACGATTAGACGTTGACGGTAATGTAGATCATCCCCTTTGATTGAGAGATATTGGGTTTCACCGAAACTTCACTGTTCTCTGGATTCATCCACATTCATGAAGCCCCAGGACTTGTCTATTTCTTTGGAGGTATGGAAAGTGGCCCGAAGATGAGAGTCGAAAGCCCACACATCATGCCATACAATAGTTTCTCCTTTGCATGTCGTAAACAATCATGTATCAACTCTAGAGTTCGCCTGTCACATTGCTCCACAGTAAAATCCAACCATCGGATTGCATACGTTATCGCAGTCCAACTTAACTGTTGTCTGTTGCTATTTATGGAGGCGATCTGGCTGGCGCCAAAATTCTCAGTAACGTCCAGCGCCGTTGCATTGAAAGGAAACTCCACAGCATCCCTTTCATCGGATGGTTGGGATTGCAATCACTGCCTAGTCCACTGTCCATGTGCTCGGGTCCCTAGTCGAATTTACATTGCCAGCATTGTAAACACTTGCTCTGTGAAATTTCATCAATTCCTCATTAATCAAAGGATTCATTAGGCTCCCAAAAATCCCACAATTGAGGGTACCAATTCCACTCTCAATTTCGGGAATAATTCACCTCAGGTATCAGTCGTAATTTCATATTCTGGTGAACATCAAATGTTATGTCTCTTGAATCTACCAACGAATTTACCGATCTTCGTAATTTCCCTCAATTCTGCTCAACAACTCGCGAAATTTTAATTTTTTCGACATTGTTATCGCATAATTCCCATTTATAAACGAACATAGAGCGCTATGTGAGGCCCTAACTTTTCGATGATTGATCCGATGGGCATGCGATATCATCCCTTCAGCCCGTTTCCACAAAATGCCAAATTGTGTTTATTTTTCTTCAATCCTTTGATCTACCAAGCGACTGAACCACTGACCACTGCTCTTTTCACATTATTCCGTTGAACGGCATCACTCGGATGAAAAAGGTTAGAGATATTTTTGAGAATATAGGGGAAGAGTCCTTTTCACAGAGCTTTTAACGCTGCAGGGTGCGCATTGAGTGGACGCTCCTTGATCGCAATGTGAAAAGTATTCATCGGACAAGACCAAAAGGGAGTGCTACAGGGTGAGGGGGGGCTGAGGGGGCATTGAATTAATATCTCACGAATTTTTCGAGTCCCCGGGCTAGGGCATATCCGGGTCAGAAATCAGATATCCGGAAGGGCGTAGCCACTATGAACCTCGTGCGCAGGATTGCGGACAGAGTGAGAGCTGAATTTGCGCAAACCCACACTAACTTTATGTATTCGTGAGTCAGGGAACGTATTACGGGGGGACTATATTGATAGCAAGGGTAGTTCAACGCACGTGTTCGACGAGATCGTTGCATTAATCGAGCATTCGCCATGAATATTGTTCCATGAATCGCGACAGCTTACAACCCTCCTACTTTTATCGAAAAAGTTGGTGGTTCTTACCGCAAGTAGGGAGAACAAAAAATGCAGACCATGTATTTTAGAATGCATCTTTTGTGGAGAAAGTCAAAATTTGTTCTGATCGTTCGTTCGTCCGGCGTTCGAAGGGATGACTTGATTCTGGGTTTAGCTGACTTTTAGCCGAGCTTTTAGGATGCGCCGTCAAAGCATTGGTATTGGAATTTTTTTCCATAATGCTCGGATAAAAATTATAGAATTAAAATACATAATAATGGCATTGAAATCATTCTGACAATTTTCATTATTTCAGTGGTTAAAATCTGCTTTTGCAGAATGAATTGCGATAATGGGGCAATTTTTGTTTGTAAACGCATTCGAACTGAATTACTCCACTGAGATAAATTTATAAATTGTTTGCGTATTCATTCGACCGAAACATGGGCAATGTTGGTTAATTATAAATTTTTCAGAAAAATGATAATCTTGTAAAGGGCATGATATTCCTGGTGTTGTTCCTTTTCCATTTTCAATTTACATTCATTCTCAATTTACCAAAATTCACCAGTACCCGAATGAAAATTAATTAAAAAAGCCGTAACTTCTTTTCATTGTTTTTTAGTACAGTTAATTTAGATTTTAAACAATTACCATTAATTATTTCGACCATTGTTTCAAACTTTCCGATTCGTTTTAATTAAATGAGCAGTTCTGTTGTCAATTCGATGTGTATTGCACGGACAGTAATAATGAAAAAGCGGCAATGTTTATATAATTCTCTAATTACTCAATAACGTTTAAAACATAAACTGAGATTTATCGATTCTATTTGCCCATAATAACCGTAAAATTAAATTAAAAAATAAAAGCGAAACTGTTTTAGTGATCGGTACATTTAATTGTATGACATTTTAAATCCATTTTTCTCCTCCCCATCAATGCTTAATTATATCTGCACTACCCTCAATTATCGCATGAATTCAATATAATTAAATTTAAACATTTCCATGAGATTAATAACAATGAATCACATCTACAAGGAAAACTTTCTAGTTTTTAATTGGATTGCATTTAAAAACATCACAGGCATTGACGTGAAATCTATTCTCTCTCGTTGTTTTCGTTTCATTTCCGTTCCCCATTTTTTCCATTGACCGAACGAGAGAAAAAATGTTTTGATTAATCTGCTAATGGATCGCGAGTTTCGAATAGGAACTCGAATGATCCGATGAGAATCATGACTCTTTCACTTTGAATCCCTCAATCAGAATTACCAATCAATGATTGTCCGTTTAATGACAGTGAATAGACTCCCGGTAAAAGTTTAATTTAATAATCCATAATTCACCTCCAATTTTAAACTCGAAATATCGATTCATACCGATAACGAAAATAATGGATTAACACAGAAAATCCAATTATCACGTTCATTTGGAGTCCCAAAAATAATTGATAAATGAATTTAATATTTTTATAATTAATTTATTTTTAAATAAAAATACGATGTTAGAGGATAGGATCCAAAGATTATAGAGTACTCTGAACCCATTGGAATCAATTCACAATGAACGCCGCGTAGTACAATCCATATCTACCCATATATTGCATGATGCAGGAGATTCGGGACGCAATGACCATTTTGCGAAATGATCTGTCGATTAATTCCGTTTATCAAACGTCTGGTGATTATTCAGACTGTCTAAATGGAAGGCGTTTGTTAAGCCCTCAGCTGAATTACACTGATCGGCCGTCCCTGTTTCGGATATTTCGGCCCGGATTAATTCGGAGAGTCAAATATTCCATTAGTCTTCTGTTCATACGATATGAACCCAGTACTTGACGTTTCTATTCTATTATTATTGAATATATATAATAATATATTATATATCTTCTAAA